CGCGTCCGCCCTCTCCGGCCGACGTTAGGAAAACGAACGACGGTGGCGGACAAGAGATAGGGACTGGTAGGTAGGGTGGTACGTACACCTACCACCTTTCGTTGTTTCTCGGGACGCGCAACGGTCCGAGGATGGGTTATCCCTTTCCAGCCTTCGTAAAGCAGGAATTTTTACGCGTGATATAATGTCTGCGGGTTTCCTCCTGCTATGTCGGTAGTCGACGCCGACGTCACCGCGACGTAGGTACCAGCCGGGAACAATAAAAACCGCACTCTCGTGAGATATCAGCTATGTCTCCGCGGAGTTAAAATAACCGCTTGTTTCCTATATAAACAAGGAATAAGTCTGATTTCGGGATTTTTCAATAGTAGTCTCACAGATTTGAACAAAAAAACAAGCGAAACGATCTTTCGTTCCATAATTATGTTATAAGTGGTTTGAATAAAAAATGATACTTATTTTTAATTTGACAAAAAAGTATATTAAAGTTGTTTAACAAGATACTTGAGAAATAATTGGAAGTGGAGTACTAATCAATAATTTAACTGTTCGATGTAAAATAAAATAGAATTCAATATAAAATTGCTTTCGTAGCATACTCGACTATTATTTTGATTTTATGTATAAAGTCTTGGCTAGTATAAAGCACTCCTAATTTATTGCATTTTCTTGGAAAAAGCACTAATAAGAACAAAAGGAAAATTTACAAAATATTAAAATTGTTTTAACAACAAATACTATTTTTTTTATAAAATTGCTTTTTAATTTAGTTTTCATTAAAAATCGCTCGTTTGCTACAACAATAATCGAAATTAAAAAATTATTTTTTAATTTCTAGCAAGAAAAGTACAGAAACCAAAAATCGAGAAAGAACATACTTTTAATCCACTATAATCAATTAATAAATCAAAATTGTATTTTAAAAAATTAATATTACAAAATTTTAATCATTTAAAATATAATCAACTTTTAAAATCAAGTTTTTAAAAAAATTTTTAGTCTTCAAGTGATGTTGTTGTAGTAAATAAACGATATAACGTTTACGTCAATTTATAGGGATAGGGATGATTCATATTTATGATACTAAGAGAGATTATGTCATCAACCGGACTAAAATCGCTGTAAATGGAATTGACGGAAAACCAAGCACTACATTTCCATCAGCACTTCTCGAAATCCTACGAAGAGATAATGTTAAGACTTAGATATTAACGCAAAATTAAACTTTCCACATTTCCTGAATATCGGTTTAAAGCTCGCTTAAATCCTAATCATGCGACATCTCGAACACACTTAATTTTTTATTATCCGATGATACTCGAAAAAAAAAAAAGAGAATGCTCGGCATGACTAATACCCGTCCTTCTCCATGAAGCTGGCCACGTCGGAGCCGAAGGCAGAAGAAGGAGAAATATCATCCGACGCGATATGTTCGTACCGTGGACGGTATATAGGGTAGCGCGCGCGGAAGGATCTATCTCTCCCAGATAGTCTGGGTGGGTGCTCTTTCCCTGTAGTACGAGGGGTGGGTGGCCTTCGCGCGCTGAAATGGCAAAACACAAGACACGGAGGTGCGGGAGGGGGCGGTGGGGTTGGAGGCCGCCGAAGGTAGAGGAGAGAAGGAGGTGGAGGAGGTGGTGGAGGAGGAGGAGGGTAGCGACGGGGAGGGTGAGGGCTGGCGAGGTAGCGACGTCACCACGGAAATCAAGAGTAATGCCAACACGAAACTGCACTACCCCTCGCGCACCCTTACCGACCCCTCCTCGCTCCCGTCTTGCTCTCACACCCCTGGCACGCCACCCCGTCCGTTTCTCCCGGTTCTTTCACCGTCCCTGCGTTTCTCTCGCCCTCTCCCCGCTCACCCGCCCCAGGAGATCCCGCCGACCGACCCACGAGTCTGGTGTGCTTTCTCTCCCGCCTCCGCCCGAGTCACCTCACCGATCTCACCCACCCCCAGGGAATAACCCCCTCGACGGCTCCCGCGGTGAGCGCCGCGCCGCCGACGAAACCTCGGTGAGACGGAAACGATAGCGGCTCCCACGAGTACTCGCTGCGACTAAGGGCGCACTGCCGGATTTTGCGAATTCTCTTTCGCCCTCTGCCATTCTTCCTTGGTTCCCTATCTTCTTGCTGTATCAAGTCTTTGTGAACACCAGAGAGCATCGGAGAGGAAATACAGTTCTGTTTAAGAACGCGCGTTCGGAACGATTAAAACGCTATTACTCTTTTCAGAGAAAACCAGCGAAAGGCATCTCGATCGTGCCACATGTAAGACGTTTTGTCACCTTGCGCTGTGCTGGCCAGTTGCCAGTCTTAGCCGATGTGAATTATCTCGTGTGAATTTAACTCATGTGACGAAGTTATGCAAACACAAATCTTACTTAGTACGCAGTTGAATCATAAGGAATGTTATGAAATTATTCTATTAATATTTTGATTAATACTTGCTACATTGATAAATAATTAAGGTGAATAGATTTTGTACAAAAAGAGAACAAAAAAAAGTTTTTTTTACTAAAAAATTCCTATGGATATACAATATAATATAGAAAATTAATGTAAAGCAATTTTAGATTAAATTTTCCTCGCATTAATAAAGTACTATTGGATTAAAAAATTTCAAAGTAACTTTTGAACAATCATGTTCATTAATTATAATTATTAGAACAAATTTTTCTGCATAAACACAAGCATCTGGACGCAGAAAATGTGCTCGAATATAACTATCGAGTAATATAATTTTAATAAAATTTAACAAAACGGTTAAGTTCGAGCATATCGATCAACAGAAATTACAGCACGTTTTGAACACGCTGCGATTCACAAATGCGAAAAACGAAAGTGTATTTTCTGATTTTTTTCTTCAAATCCCACTCTCGCGAAAATGTGGCCATTCGTATGATCGGCTATATCCGTGCAGCTCCCCAGCAGCGCCGCAAAACGTCTTTTAATATACACTATATCTTCGGGGGCTGTGTGTTTATCCTCATGGTATTTCAACGTGCAAAGAAACCGATTTGTGCTTTGATACGAGCTCGTTTCCTCGAATCTGTCGTGAAATTCACCCAACATATTACTATGTAGTACGAACGCGCATTTGCTTGATTTTATCACTCAGAAATAAAGTTGTGCGTGACTGATAAATTATTAAATTAAATTGTGTCGAAACTGGTAAATTATAAGACGTAATATAAAAGCTTATAAAAAATGGAAGTGAGTGGAGAGAGAAAGAGAGAGAAATAATTTTAAACAGCTTTCAAGAAAAAAGTAATTAAAAATTATACACAGTTTATATATATATGTATATATAGTTTACCGCTTGTAATTAGCATCTAAGTTTCTCTCTTTAAATATTAGCAAAGGAAAAGTCTTCCCTTAGGTACAATTTAAAATTATTATTATTATTACTACTACTTTTCTTATGTATTCATCTAGTTTATCTGTTAGCTTGATTCATTAAAGTTGATAGGTACTTTTAAGGAATATGTGCATCATATATAAGACGTTTACACTGCACAAGTTGCGCTCTATTAGCATCCTAATTAACTAAATAAACGGCGAGATATTATTCGAGCTATGAGGCCGTCGGGACTAGAGAATGCAGGTATATTCAAAAGGTTTTTTACATACATCCAAAAAACAAATAAAAGCCAAGAAAAGTGTTAAAGCAAACAGAATTGCAGAATAGATCACGTCTTATATTGCAACAGATTAAATTAATTTTGGCAAATTAATTGGTAGTTAAGATGTTTAGCGTTAAGTGAGAGTTTACTCCCTCTCTCTTCTACTTTTACTACTAATCTTATTCGTGCTATTTTTACGTTCGCCCTTGCACATAATAATTTCATCTTATTTCTCTTCCCAATCCCTTGATTTGTCTCTTTATTTCACATTTCTTTTTTTTATGTCTAAAAATCAAAATGACAACTCGTATAAAGAAGAATGAATATTAAATTTATTTTAATAAGAATGATTCAAATTTGCAAATGTAACATAAAAAAAATTATTTGACATTTTTATGTAAAATGGCAAGTATTATAATAAATACAAAAGTCAAGAAATTAATTATTAATTAAATATAATAGTATAGTTCATATTTGAACATTACTTCGCAGAAAAAACTTAATTATTTTTACTCATCAAAATATTTGTTATCCAAAATCACATCGCTGCATAATGGATCTACCGTCAACTCTGGAGAGGGTTAAGTCATATTTGAAAAAATTTAGAACGAATTTTTTTCTTAATATTTTTATAATAAATTAAATAGTCCTTATAAAGATAATTGAAATTTTTATTTTACATTCTAATTTCAATTATATAATAAATAATAGAGGCGTAATAGCAAAAAATTTTATTAATATGAAATAAGGAATTTTTATTAATATAATACATATAGTAATCCTTATTATAATACACAATAAACATATACCTAAATGGTATCTAAAGTTTTAAGTACAAAATGTTATATAAAAATTAAATCAGGTTCTAATTAACTGTTTAATAAACTTGCTTTTCTAAATAATAAAAATTAAGCACTTTTTTCAATTAAGCTATATTTCATGTGAATTTTTAATAAAACAATTAACATTTTTTTCGAGAAAGGTAAAAATTTATCATAAAATAAAATGTGTAAAAATGTAAAAAAGATGTCATTAAATAATTAGTTTTACTCTTTCTACAAAAATTTAAATAACAAAATAAAAATAATCTACCGTAAATGTGTGGCGATGTAATATGCTTGAGATTTAAGAGAATTTAATATATTAAATTTTAACGCTCTATTTTAATTTAACATGCGTTTACATAATAATATACGCATTTGTCAAGGTTTCATGAGGTTAATCGCTCTATTGCCGCATCATGTTATAAGCATGCGTGTTGTTACAGAAAGATGTAAAAAATATTTAAAAAAATACTTACTTTCTTCTACTATTAACAAAAATAAAACACGTTTATAAATATCAATATCTATTAATATTTTGTTATAACAAAACGACAAATTCTTAAAATTTTAACTGTCGTTAAATTTAATGCGTGCAAAATAGCTGTTTTAGTGATGCAATGTCCTCTGTTAACGAAACTCAAGACTACGTTCTACATTCTACGAGTTCTGAAACCGATGAAAATATATAAATTATATCAATTTAATAGAACTTGTACAATTCTATCGGTCCCTGGTTACATTTCCTTTTATCTTTTAGCATTCAATAATTTTCACTCAACAATTATTCATAGTATATCTTTCCAGTCCTAACTCTCTATTTTATTACCAACTGATCTTTGTGCTAGCTTCAATATCAACCGTGTAGTCATGTACAAATATATATAATTCATATATATAGATACATATATATATGTGTACAAATACATTATCACGTATCGACATTTTCGATGTAATTTTCGGTTAACTCCACACGAATTAATTGCGCCAATCGTTCCATTGCCTGAAATATAAGTAAAGATCTAAATATTAAGAGTTAAGTCGCGTTTAGCAGCAAACAATAACGATGTGTTTCGATATACTTTATTCACCGTCGGTAGATCAGATGTCGTACATCGATAAGATAAAATAAATTTAATAGATATATTATATATAATATAAAATATATAATATATTCAAACGTGCAACTTTAAAATGTTTACTTTAAACTTTATAATTAATCATTAATCATCAATAATCCTAATTTATAACTGAATATTTTGTGGATGTATATGTAATACAGATAAATATAATAAACTAACATGTGTAATATATAAATATAAATATCGAAATTAAAAATACCAGGTTCATTTCTTCGTAGGAAGCCTTGGTAAAACTTGCTCTGATGGCATTAGAGCATTTCGTGGGGTCTCTCATAAATGCAGCTCCTGGAGCCATAATAACACCTTCCGTCACACCCCGCTGCATCATTCTCCATGTATCTTTGATTCCTGGTACTTTGATCCATAAAAAGAATCCACCTCTCGGTACGTTGAAATTCGCCAGACCTATAAAACGAGATTCACAACTTTCTAAATTTTTTAATTGTAACGACTTACCTGCTAACTGTAAAACATTTTTACGCTTATCGACATAAATTGTAGTTACCCTAACATAACAAACGCTGCATATAATGATAATGAAAAAATTGAAATTATGTTACTTCGACTGTATAGTCTTACTGTAATTAATTACTTTTTTTAATGTACAATAACTTCTTTAATTTTATCACATCAAACGCACATACAGAAAGCATATGTATTTTAAAGTAAAAACTGTTCATTAAATATATAAAACGTCATTTTAAATTTAAGTATAAGTTACCATCGATGTACATCGAGAGTAATTACCCACCGTTCAAGTGCTTGTGTGCCAACGTCGAGATAACATCTCTTCGTTCTTTGTAATAGCGCCTCAATCTCATGTAATGTTGCATCAAGCCTTCATAACCCCAGACCTTCAACAGCTTGTATATTATCACCTAAAAAGTCAAATCAGCCATTTTTTACCTTTTTTCTGATGATAAAACGGTTAATGTTTACATTTTTTTTTAAATTTTGATAAGAACCGACACGCGCCACTGTCGGTTTGATTTATGGACAAGAGTGATTAATCAAGGCATGCGTCGACGTTTCACGATGTTTCATCATTCAAGATATGTATATTTATGGATATCGCTCTTTTTTGTATTGTACATATAAAGTATAATAAATCTATTCTTTCACGTAATGTTCAAATATATCATTTAAACGTTTGTATCGCAAACATATTCAATGAGTTTTGATGATCAATTTAAAAATTGATAAAGGCTTATTATTATACTTTTTTTTTATACTAGTTCAAGTTTAAATATTTAAAAATATTTATAAACTTCCAATGTATATCAATTGGAATTATATGCATACCGCATAGATAAAGTTTCCTATCGAGTGGATGATGTTTACCGGCGATAGGGAAAAGTAAGGGTAGCGAAGATCACAAAGGGACTTGCAAAGGATAAGGGTATTTCTACCAACCTGCGATAAGGTAGGAGCATGGAGATGACTGCTCTGCAAATGGAGCTCTATGGAGGCTATCAACGGAGCTGCGGCAGTCACAAAGCCTATTCTAATACCACTGCTGATTACTTTCGAGAATGAGTCCAATCTAATTACTCGACCTTCCGTATCGAGTGATAAGAAAGACTTGGGCTCTTCCTAAAAAGGAATATAATTTATTTTAAATCATTTTTTTTTTAATTTTTTTACGTTGAAGATCTCTTTAATAATTATATTTATTTTAATTTTATAAATATATCTAATTTTGCATAATATATCACTTATATTATAAATTCAAATATAGATTGCGTTTTATCTTAAATGTTGATGAAGGATGTGAATCATGAAAGATATTTATGATATGCGAATTCGTTGATATTACTACGGGTATGAATTTTTAATAATATCTTTAATAATTTGCCGCTCGTGATTGCATCAAATAGCACAGTGCTTAATGTATATTGTAATTAACAGATATCTTTATTTGTTTCGAATGTATTGCTATACTGCATTTCATCATATTTTCAACAGCTTTAAAAGATATAAAATTTAATGTTATCGCACGGGCCATTCACAAAATTTAATTTACATTTATGCAAAATTATGCCGAAATTACGTCAAAGATACGTCATACAGTAAACTTATCTAATTTGCACTGTAATCTGCGGGTCCGTTTATAAAATACTATGGCGCTTTGCAGAGTTCCATTTTTTAAGTAATTTTCAGTAATAATTATTTGCGTAGTAAATATTAACGCATGTATATTTATATGTCTATTAATACGTCTATTAACGTACATTCATATAATGTTTATGCGCTTGACTTAATATTTTTATATAACTGTTATGCAGCATATTCGTTTGTCGATATTATACGAGTACAAAAATGACTCACCTTGTCAAAATGCATGAAATGATAAGGATCGTCGTCGAGAAGTAAGAAATTGTACTTGCAGGCTATCCTATAGATTTCCTTTCGCCTTTCCAGCGGTATGATGATACCGGTAGGATTTGTACCTGTGGCGTTTATATACATTAGTTTCGGCATTTTTCCACCGGAAAGCTCTCGGTTTCTCAAGGTTTCCCGTAGTATTTCCGGAATGGGACCATCGTCGTCTTGCGGAATCATTATAAACTCCGCTTTGTGAGGTGATACCTATGATCGAATTAAATAATATTCCCATATTATCGCATAATGATAAAAATTTAAAATAAATGTTTAACATTTTAATATAATTTGAGAAAACCTAATAAAACTTTTTCCAGAATTTTTCATATAATTTTTCAAAAAATTTATATAAACTTCAAAATTCCTGAATAATTTTATAACTTTTTGAAATATTTTTTTATATAAATGTGGAACACCACCACTCACTTGTCAAAAGTATCAAGAAAGAGTTTACACATCTTTTCTAGAATCCTTTATTTGTTAATCTGCAAAAGATACTATATAAATTTTAAAATAATAAGGTTTCCAAAATTTTTTATTCTATTTCTAATAAAATTTTAAAGAATCTTAAAATCTAAAAAAGTTTAAAGTACTTTTCTCAGAAATAAAAAAAGTTTTTTAATTTTACAATATTTCTCAGTATTGGTGTGTATATGTATAAAAATGTTAAGAAAAGATGTAGATTTTTTTCAGTATCTCGGAAAAGAGTTCCAATTTATTAAAGTTTGGAGAAAAATTTTAACCAGGGAGAGAGAAGTTGTCTTTGAAGAAAAAGTTAGATTAAATTAAACTCAGATCTAACATATTTATGCTCGTTTCTACCAATCTGAGATTAACTTTAATCTTGCGGTTAAACTTACGTTTTATATATCTCTCGTTCTAATTAGAAGAAAATTAAATGCAAGTTTAACTGAAGTTAAAGTTATTTAATGTTAGTATACAATTCAATATTGTGTTCTTGGACAATTATATACTTCTTTAATAAATATAAAAAATATTTCTACTTCTTTTTATTTCTTCACGTTGTAAATAGAAAATAAATAAAGTTACATTACAAAATTTGCAATATAAGAGTCCATTACTACTATCGTGTTCAAATTATCGTTTATTTTATATTTTTTAGTTAAAGGGATTAAAACGATGCGGCGAAACACGTATGGGAGTCTTCTCAAATTTCCCTCTTTAATAACGGTATATCTGTATTTACTAACCACAACTTCGACGCCAGGATAGAAAGGGTCAGGGACTAAAATCGGATCACCAGTGCCGATTATAGCCTCCAGAGCTTTACTAAGCCCATCCTGAGACCCCGAAACGACGACTATGTCGCGACTCTCCCATAAGGGTGGCGCGTGTGCCCTTCTCTGGAATTCCCTCAGGGCCTGAAACCAATTTGTCCGACATTGTTAGACACATTGTATCCGATTCCCTTATCTCGGGAACGGAAGATTCCGGGTGTAACGACACGGTCGATTTTATTGCACGTATACAATGTGCGACATAATTAGAATGGCGTTATTACGATTTAACAGTTTATTTTCAAAATCTTTTCATTCTTTCGTTTTTTTTCCCTTATCTTTATCTTCACTATATATTCACCACATTTAAGTTTCTTGTATTTTAATCGATAAATTAACGTGAATATAAAGTTGGACACTATAATGCATTTCTATTATATTGCTATTTCTAAAATTTTTGTACGAGACAGTTTTGGAGAAAATCCAGATAACACGGATAACAATTTCTACCTGCAAAAGAGGAGGGTAACCCTGCGTAGGTATATACTGGAGAGCGGCAGCTAACTCGCCATCATCAAGAGTGAAGGACGAACCATCACAGAGTTTGACTGAAATTTCTGTGAATGGAAACGTTTCTTCATTGGGCATTCCCTCTGCTAAGGAGATGGTGCTTTTCGGCGCAGAGTACGCTATTTTAGCTAAAACAGGTAGAAAGGATCATCGTTGTCAATCAACCAACTGGTGTAATAATGACCTTCTTATGTTTATCGAGGCAGGGCGACATTTCGTCATTAAATTATAATCATTATAAAGTTAACTTATCAATTTGCTGCGTAAATTTTTCTCTCGGTAATTTTATTAATCTATTGTGAAAGAAAGATTTTGCAATTATTGTTAATTAAATATAAGTTAATCGTTCAATCACTGATTTATTATTTATATTCATTATTAATTATTATCAAAGAATTACAAGAACTTACTAATAAGAGTTAGGTATAAGAGCCAACACTGGATGTTTATGTGTGTGCACAAATTTTTTATTATTAAACATAAATTAAAAACAATTATAACTGCATCTATTTTTAATTTATATTTAATAAAAAATTTATATATGTATATAGATGAAGATTTAGTAGTTTTCTTATTCGTAATTCTCTTATTGTATTGTAATTTTCTCACTTATCTCTTTGAAGTTTAATTTCATTTTCTTTTATTAATTATTATGTTATATTTACAATCAAAACAATAGGGGGAGAAAGGCTTGTTGCTTACTTAGCTCCCGCGTTGTGGCGGGCCTCCTACATTTGGCAACCTCCGTCATGAAATAAGAATAATCCATTTCTCTGCACTAATGTGTGTGTGTATATTTGAGTTCAATAAAATTTCCGATAAATTAGTCCCCGAATAGTTATGGATCACTTGAGGTCAAATACGTTGTCGTTTAGTTTTCTGCACACAATCACAGTTGGCACAGTATTATTAACAGATCGATTGTTATTGATTGTCAACAGTATCTTAATTGCGATTTAAAAAACTTAAATAAACGCTCAGTTCGTAACTCTCTTCACTTTATAATATTATACGTTTCCTGAAAGATAAGCACACGAACCGGATAGACTCGTCAAGAGACACTTTCTAAAGTGAAGCTCCGGTTACCCCCGTCAATACTGACGGCGCGCTCGGCTATGCCTGCTTTTATATTTAGCGATAACGTTGGTTGCGTCAGAAAAACATTTCTTATACAAAAAGAAATACGACTTATATGTAGTAGACTACACCTAATTAAATAGTTCCTGATTATGCTTATCGATTCGATATTGCGACTTACCGTGGTTACGTTACTACTGATCGGAGATATGCATTATAATATTAGAATGTACCAATAAGTATATCTGAAATACTTTAATCGCTACGAGGATTTTTAAGTATAAGTAATGTAAATATAAATAAAATTGAGAGACATTCTCTCTGAAAATATCTATATATAAAAATACCTAAGCAAAAGAAATAGAAAAGATCTATGACTTCCTTAATGAGAAATTAAAGGAACAAGAGAAAAAATTGCTTTATTGACAATATACAGTTTTGGTAAAAAATATTAGGCAATTATATTTTTTCGATAATCTAAAATTCTTCCTCCTATATTGGTTCCTAAAATGACCGACGTTATCTATATAAGTTTAAACGGTTCTTGAAGTAAAGAATAATTCACAGGAAATGCTATAAATCAATTTTTTAAAACGTTAAATGACAATTAACAAGGTGCTTAATATTTTTTGCTAAAACTATATGTATATCTACATAAATCATACTTTACACATTCCTGAGCGTCCTGTTTAACATGTTGAAAGTCAAGGTCACTATTTACTTTTGTCTCATTGCGTGACGCAATATACATCTAAATAAATGTCTCGCATTGTCAAATTTTTGCATTTCAATCATTTTTTAAAGAAATTCTTCAGTAATTTATCAAATATTTAAAATATTAAAAGAATTTGAGCTTGAAATAAATTATTTTTGTCATTCACGAAAAAATAGAGTTTTACAGTTTTCGGTATCAATATAGCAGTTGTATAAACATACATGTTTGTTAACACTCGTAATTTTAAAACATTAATTTCTACGTACTATTAACAAATGACAGTAAACTATAGATTGAATTTTTTTCTTATACTATCTTACCCTCTATATCCCGTTATAAAGCATTAATTTCTATGTTTAGTACTGTTAATAAATAACAATAAATTATCAATTTTAGAGTCTTGTTTCTCTCTGTTTTTTATGCTATCTTATAAATACTTTCTATTTGCCATCATTATATCAGTATTCCCTCATAACTCTTCGTCCTTCTTTCGATTTTTCAAGCAAGAGGATTATCTTGTAACCGAAATCATTGGTTCACAAAAGCGACAGCAGTAAAGACAACATTCAAGCACCGCATATTTTTCTCGAAGTTTTCTCGTCGCGCACTTTTCCGATTCAATTCACTGTGTTTTTGTGATTTCTCTTGGGTCTTTCGTCCGCGCGCGAATAAAACGTCAATTGTCCAAACACAGATGTTCGCGGAATTATATTAAAGTGTAAACACTCCTATCAATATAACGTCTAATTACGGGTGTTGTATTTTTTGTGATTAATCAGATCATTTTTCGCACCTAATTAGTATACTTGCTATTATCTTCTTCTTCATCAAACATTTGATGCATTTCCATTCTGATTAAAAATAAAAACATAATAAAAATATTTATCAGTGCATTCTTAATAGTCCTTTTCGATAATTTTGTTTTAAAAAGTTTATTACCGAAAAGGACTTTTAAGAATGCACTGATAAATATTTCTAGATAAGTTCCATATTTTGGAACTTCTTAAAAAGATGGATATCTGAAAAATGTTTAGGTTGAACTATTTCGATGATAAGAATGTTTTTCATGTATATACTATCGCTTATAAGATATAGTGAATGGATGCAGGTGACCAAGAAATAGATGTCTATATTAGAAATTATCAGAAGTTATTAGAAGAAGTGGCGAAGAAAGAGCAGCCTTTATCATAGCATAATCGCACAGTTTCTTTTTCCAACAGTGTATTTGTATTAATTATGACGTAATCAGGGAATAGTTACTTGAATGAATGATGAAACCGAATGTTGACGCGATCTCGCGCGTTTGTCATTTGTTGACGTTATCGCGAGAGAATTGCCCTCATATCGCGTACATATGATTACGTGAAGGATTATTTACTAACAATGACACTCTTGCTAAGTTAATAATTCGATGCGATAGTGGAAACTCCATCGTTCTGCAGGCGAAATTCGCGATTCAGTACATGCAGCGAATAGAGAAATGCATAAAGCATTATAATATAATATCTTTACTTATTAAATAGGAATAGTAATGTACGCTGCAGACCAAAAGTTTGGAAACGATTAAAAATGGATATTTTGGGATCATTTATTCAAATATCCGTGACAAAGTGTTGAGATTATTTATTCAAATATGCATCAAATTTTTTTAACAATAATTCTTTAGATCTTCAGTAATTGTTATTGGACTTGAAGAATTATGAAAAACACACTGTATAGGCATTTGAGTAAGCAACTCGTAACTCCACTTTGCAAAAGTATGTTTTGGCCTGAAGTTAAGTACCTCCTAAATGTCATCATAAGACTCTCTCTCTCTCTCTCTCTCTCTCTCCATTTATAATTTTTCGAACATAGAAATAGCACGTCATGAGGTAAAACAAAATACTAATGACGTCAATTTTTATATCGTCAACGTATAACAGTGTTGTAATCAAATGTTATCGTCAATGTTGCTTTTCTGAGTAATTCTTCTGACGTATGAGACATTTTGATTGCTCTTACTTTATACTTGAAACCTTTAAAAATAATTAACACATATTCAGTAGAAAAAAAAGCAAAAATTGTGAATGCAAAAAAAAGTGCAAGTAACACAAACAGAAAAGTCTAAGTACAACTTTGACATTTTATTTAATTTTTAATTTTTCTGCTGGCTCGACTTTATCTTTTAAAAGAACTGTCACTCCTATCATATCACTTTCCTGTATGTTCACGTCCGATTTCAAATTTCATCAGCTCTATATTCTCTGATGCAACAATCGTTTAAGATTTACCGCTACTTTTACTTCGATGCGAAATGGCAAAGAAGATCCGGAAACAATAATAAAAACGAGATGTTTTTATTGCATGCTGCTATGTTATGATCATTGAACTTTTTTTTAAAGATAATGAAATTTCGAACAAACTTTCCGTATCTACGTCAGAAGATTGCGTGACGCGTTGACAGAGAATGAGAGAACGTATTATTGCATATATAAATATTATGTGTGTGCGATTACATATCCATCTATATATCGTAATTTTAAGTAGGTACTACGTTACACAGTTATATCTTTTTAATATTTTTTTCACGCATTTTTATAACCATGTCAAACTTTGCAATTAGATACTGCAATATACAATCGATTAAAAAGGTAAGAATATTTCTATCAATTAAAACGATTTATTAAATGTGCACACAGTCGATGAAACAAGAATCAATTTGATACGATTTAGAATTATTGATATTGAAATTCGCGATTGTCTCCTCCCACATGTTTATCATTCACGAGAGCGATGTAACTTATCCAAATCACAGGCGTGCGCCACGCATGAGTGTGGATATATGTATTCATACGCGCGATATGCGTATGTTTGCACGCGTAATCGGTCGTTAATAACTGGCATCGGGCAATTGCAAAATCGTTGGAAAGTTCGATAACGGCAATACGTCAAACCAGCAGCATCCAGCCAGATGACGAAACGGCGTCGAATATTTGAGCACGAGATATGACGATCGAGCTAAATGAAAATTCAAAAATTGAACCCGCATTAATTTGTAAACATTCCGCCGATTGAGGATTATTATACAGGATCTCATCCGAAGAATAACAAAACGTTTTATATTTCTACAAGTTACTATTACATTCCAAAAGTGGAAAATATGTAATAATTATTAGGAAAAAATTATCTATTTTTGAAATTAGTTTTGTTTAGTCTTACCAGTAAAATATTAGTACTTAATTAGTATTTAATTTAATGTTTCATTTAAATTCGTCTTGACCCAGTCATGTAGGATAAGATACCAACTTTGATGAATATTATTTTTGTCATTACTTTTTATTAAGATGTTATACAAAACAAGTTTAATTTAAAATTTTATTTTTGTGATATTAAATTTTGATATTTTTACAATCTTTAATTTTCTCCTTAAAAATAGTATCGATAAACTACTCGTACAATCTTTCGCATAATAATCACTGTTTTCAAAGATGATTGCATTGTAAAGGATGTCTTAGTAGTATTGTATTAATGATATAGGAATAAAAATGTTGTCTTTACTCTTTAGATAGCTTTTGACCTCAGTTTGTTACGTGTTTTAAAGTTTTCATGTCTTTCGGTATCGCCTCGCCGGCATCAAAGCAGCAGAAACCATGCAGTACAACAGAAACAAAAAGTAATGTAAATTTCTGATTCGTCAAATCGTCTTCGCAATTGCGAGCACAATTTGAACAATTCGAGTTATAACAAAATGATGTGTAGGATAGAACAAATCTATGGTTCAATCTGAAAGGTGACTCCTTGTACAAAAATGAGTCGGAAGAGTAGAATAAACTTTTTCCGTTCGAGATTTTATTGTGGGCAGTTTCTGTTTATTTGTTACATTTTTTTAAATTCTGTTACTCGTAAAGTCACATGGACATTATGTACACAAAAAGAATAATTTTACTGAATTACCTAAAAATTTAAATTAAAAGGATACAGGTCTGAAAATAATTTCGTTGGACTATCAAAATAATTGTACAGAAAATTGAAATATAATGAGCAATGTCGCAAAAAAAAATTTGGTATTCTGGCAACCAGTTTTAGCGACCTGCATAATTATGTTGATAGTTAAACAAAATTATTTTTGGATCTGCATCTATAATAGCTAAATTTTTAAATACTTCAACAAAATTCTTTTTTCCCCGTGAATATGACAACGTTTGCGATATTTTTTTCACGAATCATATTTTCATTAAATGCACATATATTCTGAAATTTCTAAATTTAATTCTTGTCGGGAGCAGAACCTCGAACGAAAAAAATGTTTA